ACGTTACAATCTTTTACATGTCACACTTTTCAAAATTTCGCAATGAAAATGGAATTCTCTCAGACTTTCTTTTCCAGATTTCTTTAGTTTTCTTACAGTTTTCTCGTGTGTCAAGTAGTAATGAAGTTTCTACAGTAATATTCAACAATATTCAACAACTCGTCGCGATTAAATCAACGAATAGCTAATACAAAAGTATATGACCAGATGGAATTCACTCATATGTTTGTTTTTCTATTCGAATCACAGATAGAACTGATTCTTTTGAATTCAGTATCGATCGATGTATTCATATATGATACATCTATATTTTCTATTTATCCAAGTGAAATTATTGCGATGGAATATATATTTTACGCGTATTAAGAAGCTATTAGTATGCCAATCTCTCATATTACTTCGAGAAACCTACACAGTACTTACAGTAAGTAGGAAGTATTCATGCACTGATGATTTTCAAGCAAATCTTAATATAATTATTGTTTATTAAATAACTTTTATAAAACAAATATGTCTATACATATTTAAAGTTTCTTGTAGAATATATATATCATAAAAAAAAATGTCAATCATTTGCACAATTTGTAAAATTAGGAACAAAGAAAATTGATAAATTAGTAAAAGTATATAATAGAAATACATATACAGTTGAAATATAGCGGAAATATTTGTATAGTTCTTATGGCATTCTTAATATAAGAGAATTTCTTATGATCTCACAGATTAAATTTAACGTAAAAATCGTATAATTGACGACTTTTTAATAATGATTAATCGTACCTGAGTAACGTTATCGGCTCTATAACTTCGCACTATTTAAAAGATTGTTGAAAAATGGCCCGGAAAGGTACGGAACTTACAATAGAAGAAAAAAAAATTATTATTAATTTACACACACACACACACAGTGCGTGCACGCGCATACATCCAGTGTAAAAGTTTAGTAGATATTTCACGAATTACCAAGATCTACTATATAAAGTTTAATTGGTAGGTATGAATTTAAAAAAACTCTAAAAAATAGGTCAAGAAATGTGCATCTGCAAAAAATCAATCAGTATACTAGTCGGGTTATCGTTCGAATAATTGACCAAAATCCAAAAATAAGCATTTAAAAAATAATTTAAACATTGATTTATCTGCTAGCTTTGTGCGTAGCTTCGTAAAAAATGAAGAGTTATTACGATAGAATGGCTTGGGAATATAAAAAGTATTTTACCAGTGAAATGGACAAAAAGGGAAGATTAGAATTTGCAAAAAATAATATAAACACATTAATGGAGTATCGAAACAGAGTAGTTTTCACGGATGAAAGTAAATTTAATATTTTTGGATCGGATGGACATCGCACTATGGAGAAAAGAAAATGAAGAACTTAATTCAAAAAACTTACTACCTATTATGAAACACGGTGGTGGTTGCGTAATTTGGGTGATCGATGAGTATACATAATATTGGCACATTACAGTTTATTCGTAAAATAATAAACTATCGGATTATTGAGATTTTAAAATGTAATCTTTTCTCTAGTGTTGAAAAAATGGTGAAATTAAAGACTTTATTTTTGTATACGATTTATGCTATGATCCAAAGTATACTGCGTAATACGAGAATGTGGATATGATACACCAGTATAATAAAAACGCTTCCATAGTTGTCAGATATTAATTCTATTGAACATTTATGGGATTATCTAGGACATAAAATTAGAAAGTATCAAATTTCTTCAAAAAATAATCTAAAAAATGCATCTTGGAGAAATGAAACAAGATCCCTTCCTATATAACAATAAATTTAGTAAATTCAATACCTAGAAGAATTGCAGCTATTGTAAAATCGAAAGAAAATCCTACGAAGTATTATTAAGATAATTTATTTACATTTTTGCAGTAAATTCAAAGTAAATGTAATTATACAAATACTTTTTATTCCTACATGCTCCTATAACCAGCGGATTATATTTTCGTTAATTTATTAAAATTTTCTTTGCCAATTTTGCAAATTATTATTTTTTTATGATGTGTATTCTACAGAATACTCCAAATATATATAGTTCATTTTTTAATAAAAATTATTTAATAAACAATAAGTATACAATAAAGGATTATTTAAAATTCATCAATATACGTATATTTTACATCGCGTTCTCTGACACTCGCAACTCACAGATCTCGTGACGAAATTATGTTAATAGCCATGAACCTTTGTAAACAACGATACTTTAGCCCTAGCACGTACAACATATAAGATTGACATACAATTTAAAAAATAAAACTGTAACCTAATCGAGGAAACCTGTTCGATAAATCATTGGAAATTATTAACTGTCAATTAAAATTCCTATCTTTTTGTTTTATCCCGATATTTATTATTCGCAATCGCTTCATAATTTTCACTCTATCTTTAACTTTTTAAAACATGTATTTTCTCTATTTATTTTTTATTTACATTTGTTATGTACATCGCTTCACCGATATACTGTTTTTCTTTTTTTTAACATCAATTAACCCAGTTGTTAGAATTTTAATTGGCCCACTCCATTTACCATATGTAAACTGTGTGGTATATTATTAAAAACAGGAGCAGAGATGTAGGTCGCGAGTGACACATCTACCCGTTCAGTTATATACTTTTCAATGTAACAATTTTCCAAGGAATAGTCAAGTTCCAACGATTTCATCGGTGAGAAAAATTCTTCAAAAATGTATACAGAATAGAATGGATTGTTTTTTATCCAAAAGAATGCTTTCACGGACTTGAAGAATAAACGATAATTATTACATTTTAAATTAGACAGAATTTATTCATTGAATGATAAATACAATACGATTGTATATTATTTTGTATAAAACATGCCAAAAGAAATATATTAGGTACACTTTAGAGCATTAAAATGCTTGTATTTTTAAATATAATATTTATAGTTTGCATTATCAGCTATAATTGTGAAGAAACAGCATAATTTTACAAAAAAAAATAATAAGACGATCGTAAATTGTACAGAATTTAATATTTTCCGATCAAACAATATATTATTTTCTATTGTATTTATGTTTAAATAAAATATAAATAATTATATATATAAATATTAATATAATCAATATAAATATCCAAATATTCATTCTATAATTAATGTTAATAATATTATGAGCAAAAATGATAAGATTAATATATAATTTATATAATTATATATAATATTTAATTTTATTATTATATAGTTTATATAATATTTCAAATAAAAAATTTATATTGAAATTAATGTATAACAAAATTTCAATGTCAAAAGTTAAAAATAGTAAATTCTTCTTTCTAAATTGAATGTTTTAATTATTGAAATAAATTTGTTTAATTTAAAAATAATTTATTTCATTTCGTCGTTTCGTACAAAGAGAAAAAAATTTTGCACATTTTGCAATTTCTTTTCGCTTAATTTTCGTTAAAAGGTTGTTCTCATTCAGATGTAGTGCGGATCGACAGTGCTGGTTCAACGTAAGTAAAATATACGGAAGAGAAGGCAAATATCATTCAGCATTTTACTAATCAGTGAGAGTAAGTTTTCATAGAGAAGCGATGCAGCGTATCTTCGTTTACCGCGGCCATTAGCGTTTGATGTTGACCTTTCGGTAAAAGATCGTAACTGTAAGGCACGTACTCGGTTATTGCGTTGGCGATGCGATACATGCCTATTGAGCGTTTTGGATTTCAAGACTTCGTTAGGAATGACCCTTCCGTATCAAATGAGAATACTTGTAACTCGTGAACGTAAGTTTGCACTCTGCATTCTCTCAGAAACTCTATACATCCGTGTATGAATGTATATTGTACCAACGTGTATCTACGATCAAGAGGATAACATTTAAAAATAATTTTTGATGTTTTCAATTTAGTGTAGTTTCCTAATATAGCATACTAAATTGTGGTTATAATGGTACTAGAAACAAAAATGATATTAAACACGATTATTTTTTTTTATGTACGAATTATATTTTATATCTATGTTAAAAATTCTAATTTTTTTAACGAAGCTACTAAAGCTGTAGAGGTCAGAAACCTTCCCTGAGAGGGTTAGTGCTTGCACATGGAAGGCTTGACTGGTATTACTTGCAAATCATTCGGGGTTGAAGACACCTATTTACATATAGGATGATTCAAAACATATGAAAAATATGACAACGGCTGATTCAGTACATTAAAATAAACAGAAAAGTTCATGTACGATTTTATTTATTAAGTTACAGTTCATTATGTGTTGCAACAATTTCGGAATTGGATATCTTTCTGCATCTACATAAGTATTGTATTGTATTATATATAAATATATTGTATTATAAATAAATTTGTAATATATAATATTATTGTTGTGATGGATGGACCAAGCAGATGCTCGAGTTTAAGACGGATAGCAACCGTGGGTGAAAGTATAGTGAAACGATATGAAATGGTACGATTCCGACAGAAAATCGAAGATCGTGATGAGTGTATTGTATATTTTTGTAATTGATTGTCGCACTTACTTGAATTATAATTATCACACTACATTATATTTAGCATTGCACTGAATTCTCTGCTGACGGTAGGCCTGTTTTCTACGAATGTGATGGCGAGTGTTAGCCAATTACTTTGAAGCTTCGAACCGTTTGATTGCTCTAGCATAATTTCTTCAAAAACGGTGAAACACTAAACCTATCGAACCTTTTTACCGTGAGGAGTAATATAATCATTTTGAAAAAAAAAAAACATATTTCTTAATACAGAATGAAGATTAAATAGTGAACAAAATATTTTTTTATATTTGAAAATAAGTAATGTTTATTTTATTCAGTTTCACCACATTGTTTATAAATTATAGGATTCTTGATTGTACATTTATCACATACGTGTTTTTCACATTTTAAATAGATTTTGTTCGTTTTATTGCCTTTGCAAAATCTTATCTTTAATATTTTTTCGGTCACATGAATCTGTAATTATATTTGTGACTGTTTTTGCTGGTCCTTCTATTACTCTTCTTGATATTCGATGGCAAGCTCTTCTCTCAATTGAAATGAAAGAAATTCTTGCCTCGAAATTGCTTCTCCCGTTTCTTTATATAAAATCCAAGCATTTGTCTCGGCTAAATCTAAGATACTAAAAATTATTTGCAAAGACCATCTCTGTGATTTAGATTTTATGCAATACTTTCTGGCCATTTGGTCGGTTCTAACATCGAATTTTGTGCTACTCTTGTGATATTCTAGTATCGGTATTTTTTTATTAGGTTTAGCTTTGTAAATTGTCTGAGTACCATTATTTGATCTGTATAAGCTTGTTGAGAAAACGATTCTTTCTATTTCCTTGAATAGTTCCAACAAGCGTAGTTTTTTTTGCTAAAAGTTTTGTCGCTAATGACATGCTTGTAAAAAAATTGTCCGTGGTTATATTTCTTCCACAGCCCGTATAGGATTCTACTAATTTCAGGGTAACATACTCCCCAAGTGGAACCGAAGATTCTCTCCTTATAACTATATATTTGCTTTTGCCATCGAAAGCTAACCAGAATTTTATACCAAATTTGTTCGGTTTATTAGGCATGTACCCTGTAAATCTACACTTTGCTTTCGTTGGAAACAATTGTTCATCTATAGAT